CAATGCTACCCTCGCCCAGAGTGAGCTTCATACTCTCACTGACAAAAAACCTCCCGTTCCTTCTTCTGCTCTATGCCGAGGCCACGGTGCCAAACTGCGCTTACCCTGCAACCCAGGCTGAACATCGGCCCTGTAGGGCCCCGTCTGTGGCTCTATGAAGCGCGGAACGCTACGCGCCGTGCGCTCGGGTCCGGTTCTGGTTGAGAGTCGAGCTACCCTTGCTCGCCGTTTACAAACCCGCGCTTACCATGACAAATAAACTATACTTAAGTAGGTACTATTCTATTCGTTATAGTTATGAAGAGATCTAAGCATTTAGTTTCCGAAAAAGAAATGTATCTACTTAGTACATAAGTTTTAAAAATTATGTCATAAATATAAAAATGCGTAGTATATTTTCAATATAACACAAACAAATCTCATCTCAGTTTATATAAACTGTTTACGATTTTTTTCCGAGAATTACGTATACCTACGTACACAAGTAGAGATAACTAAATTGATATGAAATGAAAACACATACTTATTTATTTTAATCTTTCAGTACCAAGCGTAAACGTATACTTTATGCAAAGTTGTACATCTATACCACAGTATAAATATGGTCTATACGGACACGGCAGTTGCACATACGCTGTTACTAAGGAATAAAATACTATGAACTATATTAATACTAAACTGTTTTTTTTTATTTATGGTATGCATCTAAACACAGGGAGACAAATGATCAGACGGATTTGCTGATGATAAGCAATTGGCGCCGCTCATGGACACTTACAACACCTAGTTTCAAGTTCGTTGCCGAACTTTTAGTGTTTGGAATTAAAGGAAGTTGGGAGGATTGGAATTGCAGTAACCTCACTTACACGCAGAAACAATGTTATTTGATCTTTGTTTTCTATGAGGTCATGATCATAACACCCCATTGAAGCCGAGCCATTCGTTCCGAAGCGTGGATCCCCAACCGAGGCTGTGCATACGCAATGAAAACCGCGACCCCGGCTGAATGGAGTGGTTATAGTTAGTTAGTAAGAGTCCGACAGTTCGTCTCGAAGCTATTATATGATTTTTATGATTTTATTCCTCAAAAAACCTATACATCTACAACAATACACTGCGTTTTAGAAGTCACGAATACAAATGGTGATGATAAGAACAGCTAACACATTCTAAACCATTATGTACATATTATGATGACTCCGTGTCACTATCGTGATCAGCAAAGTCGATGACCAATCATTTTCCTTTCAATATCGATGAACCTTAAAGGGTCACGTTCGATTCCTAGTAAATTCATTGCTTAGCTTTAGCCGGCGACTTTACTTGTGTAATATTAACCGTCATCATAACATTAGCTTCAAGACATTCACGCCCAGTAATGGGCGCAGTAGGAGCAATGTTTATGTGTTTTAAGTATGGGAGACCACGGCCTCACAGAATACCAGCATGAAACAACCACTGCGTTGTGTTTCACCGTGTGAGTGAATTTTCTGAAGGCCCATTCCTCCCCCCTCCCTTATCCCTTCCCAATCCTTATACCCGCAACGCAATCGTAACATGTAATTAGGTACATTATTTTAATGTTGTGTGTGCATACAATTTCTTATTAGACCAAATCAACATGCGACCTCTAGGATTACATAATTGTTAGGGTCAAATTAAATAATAGATGTTTGCAAATAGATAATCTTCATTACTGCTTTGATACCCTCTCTGCTGATACCCGTTATCTCTATTTACATTGTAACTCACATTGTTTTGTTCACACGATGTCTTTTCGTGATAATTATGAGGAATTCCAAGTAGAAACGAGATCAATTAAAAGTATACACGAGACATAATTACAGTTTAATCTTGGCAACACATTAAAATAAAATAAAAATATTGCCAGTTTGAAGGTGCCTAAATAACTTAGAATAATATCTTCGAGAAGAAAATTACTCATGATTATTATAAATTTCCGTGAAGTTATACCACAGTATAATATAGTTATACTTACAATACCTACTTCATAATTTTTCCATCGGTTAGAATTGTTACTAGGTACTAAATATGGACAGATAAAAACTAACATGACATTTAAATGAATGAAAACTAATCAAATTATACAAATGGTTAGTTAAAGGTAAAACCTATAAATAAGAATGATGGAAACAACTGACAACTATGCGACATTGAAAAATAATTATTACAAAGAATTGTAAATCGAAAAAGTCTTTATTCAAATACAATACTGAATAATTGGCAGGTATTATCAAAGACAATTCATTGAATTCAAATATCGAATAAAAAATCGAATGATGTTCGAAACGCCCACATCTCATGCCAACGTTTAATATTGATTGACGAAAATTTCGATCAAACTTACCGCCGTCGCCAAAGTAAATTGTCTGGGGATATGCTTCGACTGCCTTTTATTAAGGCCTGTCTGAATTGAGCTAGGGGCAAACTCTCCCTACGCAAAGACCATCGCACGGTACGCACAACACTGTTTTTCTCAACATTCTTTTCCATTTGCACAATCACACTGTGTAAAAACTTTAAAAACTCACGATTTAACATTTATTTTATTGTCATTTTATAATTTTATTGTAACGAGAACATTAGCAAAATTACACGTACAATTGCATTACACGATCTAAAAATGATAACAGGTTGAAATGAATGCTGCGCCCTTATCTCTATGGTTCCTATTTCATATTTACGTTTTGAGATATGGTGGTAAATGTGTAAATACGTACTGTATTTGTTTAAATTATTATTGTCACTGATGCGACTTAGGTAGAGTTATTTTTTTACGGTTTAATATTTTATCGTCGGACACAGAACTGAGTTGCGCGAAGTTATTACGAACGTTACGACGTTTTTGACTGTAAGTGCTTACTGCAACAATATTTTTGCTTACTTAATGTTGTTTTTTTGCCTCTTAAAAAGACCTTCAAGAAAATTACAAAGATTAAAAAAACTTAGGTAATATTTACACATTTGAAACTCTAGGTTCCAAATGTGTTTAAACCACCTGTTACCAGTACCACCAAACCCACAGTTTCTGTGTAAAGATTAAAATATTAATTTTTATTTTAAGCAGCTTTCCTACGTTACTATATGACAAAGTGCTCGATTAGTTTCAAGCCGCGGTAGGGGCTCATATCGATGAGCATTGCATAACACACGACGAATCCCTTCTAATCTAAACCCTTGATGATTCTATGACATAAAGTCTCCAAACTCCTTCTAAAGACGATTGTTCTGTTGGTCCATGATTATTTGCAAAAATAGACAATACTTCCTTGTCTCTATTCATCAGTAGGTAAACAAGGTTGATGATAGAAACCCAGAATCGTGGTTGGTGTTACAAATTGATTTACCACTCGATTAGCTTCGAAAGAAATAACGTTTGGTGTTTGCGCGAAGATCTTGAGACGCATTTGCAACACTCGCAGTTCCAACTCAAAAAGTAAACAGTTCTTAAATTAACATCTGTATTTTCTTAGCGGAAAGGTTGAATTTTGGAAAGCAATTTTTGTCATTGATATAACAAAAGATAATTCAAGTATTTTAAGCATCGGCCTAGACTTATGTGTTTCTTTTTTTAAAGAGTGTTTTAAAAGGTAAAAGTTGTGGACAACTTATACACCTTAAAGATTTAGAAATTTGGTAAGTAATTAAAACAAAACCAAATATCTATGTACCAAAGGAACATTTTTCAATGACCCATTGTTTAGAACTGTGTACCTTCCTTATGTCACGTGACCGTTCAATGAATCATAGGTAGATATTACCCTCTTCATTTTTAATTGGTCAATTTGATATAAATCAATTTCTAGTGTCCCCAAAACTGTGACAATTACACAAATTAAAAGACAATTAAGTACATACTTTAAAAATTACATTTCTATTGCTTCAGACACAGGTAAGTAAGTGAATCTAAAGTTGCTTTTAACTGCCCTGGTTTTAGCAGCATTAGGTATTGTGTTGCTATGCCTTAAGAACTCTTGTTTCTTATAATTTTGAATTATAATAGGTACTTTACTTTAACCAAATCATGGGCCGTGCTTAAGTATTATGAATATTAGGCCTATTGTTAGAAGCTTCGATCATATATTCTGAAGATATGTATATTCAGAATATGTGATCGAAGGTTAAAAGGTTCAAATTCGTATGTTTGCTAAACAGAGTGTTTCTTAATCTGTGTCTTGGGTAAGTTAAGTATGCGTTATTTTATAATTAAAGTTAAAATTCATTCTATATCTAATCTAAGTATATACAATTATATTTACTAACTAATATTTCAGATACATATCTTCCGATGGCAGTCGATACTTCTCTCTCTTTCCAACTCTATTACTTTTTCACTCCCACTAGCCTTGCTTAGTGGCTACCTATAGGTACTATTTACAACAAAACCACATAGCCACGTTTTGTACATTCAACTTCAATAATGAGGTAGACCCTATTGTTTACCGTGCCTGGCTGCTACAAATTTCACCTGCAGTTTACGAAAAACCATTTATGAAAAGACCTACATAATCTCATCATTATCATGTGCAGTGCCCACTGCTGAGCAACGGCCTCTTCTAGCACGGTGAAGGTTTGAGAATTAACACCACGCTTGCCCAAGGCGCATTGGCGATTTCAAACTTATACTTAATTAGAAATTACAGGTCCAGGTTTCTTCATAATGTTTTCCTTCACCGTATGTCTGTGGCGTCTTAAAGAACTTAGAAATTACATATGACTCGGAAAAAGTCACATTGGTACTTGGCAGGTTTCTAACGCACTTTATGAGAAGTGGGCGCGTTCATCTTCGGGCCACCACGACATTTCCAAAATGTAAAACACAGCACTGAACAGTTTTTTTAGGATATTTTGTTCAGAACCAACAACGAGTGAATCTCAAGACTCTAATATTTCAGACTTCAATATTAACACGTCTAACTAATGATCAAAAATAATCAATAGAACAAACGTAGTTGGTTAAAAACATATTATAAATATACTTACTGTGGAAGGGCGGGTGTGGGGACACGGAGATGATGTCCTCGCCGGGGTCGCTCAGCGTCGCTGCCGTCACTCGCTTCCTCTGCACCGACGCTGCTCGACCCTCCCGCCGACCTACGCAGAAGATCACATCAGAACATCAAGAAAAATCAGCAGAGAATAGGAGAAAGCCTTAGCGGATTACCTACATGGGTGATTGCGATAGACGGGCAATTCCAAAGTGTATACATAATTTTCCATAACATACTTGTAATTTAGTGAATAAGACAGACATTAACAGCAGCATTGCGCACGACGTATGAATATGGGCCCCTAGCGTGGCTTGAAACTTTTCAAGTTTACGTCAAACTAATAAGCCCTTAATCTTACTTTAAATTTATTGTTTATTGAAAAAAAACTAGCCTTTATTGATCTCTGACTTCTAAAAAGGTTTAATATTTTCAAAGAGTATAAGGCGGAATTTTAATTTTGTCTAGATAGCAGATACTTCTTTTTACAAATTTAAACCCACAAAAGGCCGCAACGCAGCTGTAACTAACTCCTTTGGTGTCACGACTGTCCATGGGCGGTGTTAATTGCTTACCATCAGATAATCGGCCAACTTGTTTGTCGATCGATCTATCTCATAAAAAAACAAAAAGATTGATAATAATCATGCTAGCTTCATCTAATACGCAACAAAGAAGTGACGGATAAATAAATTATTGTCATAGATAATATCAAACATTTTCACATTAATTGAACGGAAAAAGTCAAATAATAATTATCCTGGCATATAACGCAAGGCCAATTATTTGTTTATGTGTATGATAAAATCTGTTATAAATAGTAAAGCTAATAAATGTCAATCGATAGACAATAAATTGATCGGTTGACATTTATGATAAAAATGCAAGCGAGTCAAACCATAAAAGGGTAGTAAAAATCAGTCTGATTCAGTACAAATAAACCAAATACAAACTCACAGAAAGATATCAAGTCTTTCTGTAAGTTTGTATTTAGAACCTATGTAAGCTTTTCCAAATCGCCAAATTTTCAATACAATAATCACTACACAGTAAAAAACTAAGTCACTTTCTCTGTCCTTTCCTTTCCAACAGATTTTTATAGATAAATTGATTAAAGAAGAAGTTTTATATATATACTTAAAATTGTTGTCATTATACAGATTTATAATGACTTCCATAAAATACTGTAGAAATTTAGTATCACCATACCACTTGTGCGTAGCCAGGGCGAGTTACTTGTGTACATATACATAATCTTTATTTTAAAAAGCCTCTTACAATTAGTCCGTCTCAATCTAATATAAAAAGTAAGGCGGGGCGATCGGCTGCCGGAGTTGATTCCCATGACAGCAGCGTATTACGGAAACCAACTCCCGAATGAAACAAATCTTTGTATGATCCACAAATTGTTGTGTCGTGTCTAATTATCATGTGTTTTAAACACGCACCCACGATAAAGGGGAAAATTTTACTGTAAGTTTTTCATAAGGAACGAACTTACAAACTTTTACATGCTTAATAAGCACTATAACAGTCATAAATGTGCACACTTATATACTTAATAGCTGCTAATAATAGCTGTTGTAGCTAGCCTTTTAGGAGGACATAACATAACTCCTAATAATCGCTTTGAAAGTAGCGCCTATACTCTCTCTGACACGTGGTCTATCAAGCATCAAGACTAGAAAACTAGAGTCAAGTGAAAACGTTCAGCTATCAACCCAACTAGCAAACATCAAACAAAGATGCAAAAGACACGAGATGTATGGAAACAAGTGGGGCGCTCCAGTTGTGAGGCTGAACACAAAAGACACGATGTGAACATCAACAAACACTATGACGATATGCCTAAATACATATACATATGTACGAGGGACAAGATAAGGTAGCAGTATTGGACGACGGAAAGAAAGAAAGAAAGAAAAATCATTTATTTGGCAAGAGGCAGGATACACCAAAATATTCGTAAGTAGATATGAAAAAAAAAAAACAAGAAAACTAAAAGGCAGCAACAAAATCAAAAGTTTCACTGAAAAAAATAAAAAGACAAATAAAAAATAAAACATGTGATAACATACTCATGCCAAAAGGGGTTGCCAATTTAGAATAAGTTGGGCTCAGTGAGAACGCAACACTGCTATTCAGCCAATGAAAAAAAAACATTGTACGAAAAATACTAATTTAAAAGTGTTTATTAATTATAGTTATGTACTTGCAAAAGTTATATGGTCACTTCAGTAAATTTTGTTGTTGCTAGATGTCACTAGCGGTTAAAAATTTATAGTTTGTAAATTAATTTTAGGAAGACTAATTTTTAACCTGTAGGATTTCAGAGTAGCATAGTTACGTACAAGGAGCTTTCGGAAACTTCTATGAAAATACAATGTACCTATAATTACCAATCATTAATTTAATGTCTACTGGTTTCTGGCAGGTTCTACGCCGACAGTACAAAAAGTTTGCTTGTGTTACTCTAGATATCTATCCCTATACCTATTTTTATTCAGATCGACTTCGTTGTTTTTATATGTAAGAGTTACAAACATCCATCCATAAATACAATATTTTAAGGTGGTACATCGTACCTTTATTGCTTAATAATAAAAAGACAAATTTACGAAAGCAATATTTCAAAATTTTAAATATCCGAACGTCACAGTTGAACTAAAAACTAAGTTAGAAAACACAAACACAAGGTAGTGTAAATAATTATTAAATAACTATAAAGTGTATATTTTTAAATCAGAATAAATCAGTGCAACGAAATAGAGAAATCAGAGCAGGTAATAAATATAGCAACTACTCTATGTCACAAAAATCATGCACATGCTTACTTAGTACCTTGGCATTATAAGCTCTCAAAAAGCCGCAAGCAGGCACTAAGTCTCGGTTATATGGTAAGGGATATACTTGTCACACTCCATGCCGATTACCTAGAAATAATAAGGGCATGAAATTGCATATGGCTGACCGCAGACATGACAGTTTGATGTCAAATTTTAGCGGGAAATATGTAAGTACTTTCATAAGTTATCCAAAACGGTAGAAATTTTAATAGAAAACTGCTTTTTGTATAATATTTATTGTATTTCATGACCAATATTAATTAGCATATCGGTTTATTATCACAAATCGATAATCTATTTTATATTATCTATATTTTAGGTTATGTCGGTACTTGTTTATGGTAGAGCTTTCATAAATAAGTTTTAAAAGCATTATCCTTGGAACGTCGATATTCAGCCAGTGTTATATGATAGTTATGGCTATAGAGGGGTAGTGATTGATTGCCCGCGTGTTTACGAACTATCGATATTACAGTTTATCGAATAAAATGCTTTTAAAGAAAAGAACAAAGAGTTTTATATAAATAATCAAAGGTTATTTGTTTTTCGGTCTGCAGCCAGCCCAAAGCTTCTATTAAATACTTAATAATAAATAACAACATCATAATTAAATCCTACAATGGTGTTCTTTACAGTTAATTGACGTCTACATAACTTTATGAATATATAACTGCATTTAATTATGTACCTGAGCTGAGACAGCGATTTTCCTTCTTTTTCAGTATCCTTAGACTCAACAAAAAGTTTGTCATTAACTAAACTGATTAGGTAGTTTCTTGTTACAGAAAGCTATGAGGAAAATCCCTCCCCGATTAATATTGCATAGGTACTTAAATGTGATACATAATGCTTTAATTTTACCAACCAAACAGTTAATGAATTTAACAATATCGAATTACATATACTACCTATGCCAACATTTACTTGAATTAGGAACTTCTTTCTCAAAACCTTCCCGTTTAAGGAAGGTCTAGAGACAACAGAAAAAGAACTTTAACTTAATTTAATTAAAACATTTTCTTGAACAACTTACCGAAATATTCTCTTCAGCCGACTAATGACGTGGTATTTTATATACACGTTTCTCACACAATACTATGTTAGTGGTACACTTTCATATATTTGTAGAAGTACATAGTTTAAATCACTTGTAATTTTAACATGGCCGATTCCATTATGCTGATTAATTTTGCTTTAAAAGATACCTGTGGCGTGTTAACGAAAATTAATTTATGGTTATTAGGTAAAAATAATTGAGTTAGTTGTTCAGGGTTCTCTTATCAATTTTTTTTTAATCTATGGTTTATAAGACAGTTGATGACATGTTGTTGAAGAGACAAAATATGAAAGCAAAAAGAGTTTTTAAGTATGTTTTTTCTACCTTGTTGTCTTGTTCTCTAAAATTATTTAAAAAACCTTTGGTGACAATAGAGATACCTACTTACTAAAGCGATGCTAATAGGAAGAATCATTATCTTGACTTAAAATTGTCATGAATCCAAAGGCAGTTTTAATATTTTGCTTACAAACAACAATTATTTCAAGAAAACTTCATTCAAAGTAACAATCGTCATGAATGCAAGAAAAGATGAAGCCCATGTTTCATGAGTATATTGTATCTGACTGTTGAAAAAATTAAGAAACCATTTAGGTAGTTATTAAAATAATGTTTTATATTTTTTTAAGCTTGAATATTCCTGGCGTTATCAAATAGCTAGGCTATCAGACAGACACGTCTGTTTTTATATCAGTGTCTGTTACCTACAAAAAAAAACAACAAATGTGCCAGATACACCAACCATTGTTATTTTTGGCAGACTCTTAGAAAGAATACGAAAATTACTTCATCCGTAATTATTAAGTGAATGTCACTCGACAAGAGTCAATTTTGGCGTTTTTTTCTTGTGTTCAGGAATTCTTCTCCCACAGAAATATTAATACTGGCGCTTCAATTTTCAACTTAATTTCGCTATAAATTAAAGCTTATTTACTGTAAACAAATACACGAGCAGTATGACTTTACAGGAACAATTAAAACCAATAAATATGAGTTGCAGAAATTGCGACTTTGCGGAAATTCTCATAAAATAAAATTTTCCATATCAATTAGTCTACGTAATCCCAATGAATATGCGTTTGTGTAAAGGTCACTTTTTAATAAACAGCACGTGAATGTTTTTTTGAACTAGACACGGAAGAAGTGCTCTACTTGTACCTAATGTTACTATTATTGAGTAAGGATGACATACAAGTTCATTGGATTACATACAATGATACTATGACTACATACTACCTACACACTATTAAGATATTTCCGTAATTGTATCAATACAGCGTCGTTTGCCAAACATATGCATAGATTCATAAAAGCTTTGTAAGCATTTTAAAATTGGAACTATAGAATTTTTTTACATTTGTGTCAATAATTTGTATAGGAATCGTGAATGGCGTTCTTTTTTCAAAAATGTCAATTTTGTTTTATTTATTAATCTAAATGTTTGAATCCAAAAATTTGCTAACGTGTGTTTTATACACATAAATATCTAAGTATGTATTTTAGCGTTTTTAGGGAATTTTAATATTCATTATAAATATCAATAAAAAAATATTAAAATGATTGCCTTATTAATCAACGAGATATAATATGAAAAATAACTTTCGTTTATGAAAAGAATACGGAAGCCATTATAAAACATGGCTATACCTACATAGAAATCTAAACAATGTTGATTACTCCGCTTGAGAATTTATTACGGTAAAAAATACATATTTCTACTTGTGTAAGGAATCTTTTGGTATTCTAAGTAGGTATTATTACAAGAAATATTATTTAAAGGCAGTTATGAGGAAATTAAGAATAAATAATGCGATGTCACATTTCTGATTGGTGACATTAATTCACCTTTAATTATGGAATTATTTTATTATGTGAATAAATCACAGTAGAAATAACCATAATATTATTTGTCTTTTATTTTATTATTAGACTGTATTTTTCATGTCTATGGTCATATTTAAAGGTCGAACACGAGCACTGGTGTTTGAATGTTCGAAATTAATTCATTTATCTGTCCTACCCCATCACGTTTATTCCTAAAATCACCGATTAATTATACAATATGGGCCCTGGTTGACACGGCAACATTACTCACAAAAATCCACCAAAAATATAACTATCCGAAATAATATTGAACAAAAAAGCATACCATCGACTAATGCGTAATTAAGTATCTAAGTGAAATATTAGACACTCGAACCGATTAAATCAACACTCTTATAGCAAGAAGCGTCGATTTACAAAGATTTTAAAGATATTTTACAATTTTGGTTAGACACAACACAGAATCACTGAAACACAAGTTATTTGTTTGTAAAACCACAGTTTTCTGTGATAACACTGGGAAGATATCGCTGGTATTATGTTAATATTACGTATTTTGTACAGACTACACAATACAGGCGGTGCAAACTGTCCATCCACTCTACACCGCGGGCTGTCATCTGGGGTGTCCCCTCCTCCAAACGAAAACCCACTTTAAGTGACTACGTTTTAAGTTGAATTTGGCACTTTCACGTATAGGTCCTAGGGAAACATGCGCAGTGGTGCATTGCGCACAATATTGATTGCAATCATATGTATGATAGAAGCTATGGCGGAAAATTTGATTTCGTTTTGGTTTTTATTGACATTTTACAAGGATATTAAGTACTTTTGCGGTTCCGTGTTTAATCTACATAATCATGCTTTACGTACGTCACCTCTTTTTAAAAGACCTAAGAAAGTAATTGGATCTTTTAAAAAGGTTATAAGGACCTTAATCGCTTATAATCTAATTATTCCTTAAGACTACTTTTAAGATAAGTATTACGTAAAAGCAAACTATTACGGATTTTTTCAGTTTTCAAAACTCGTGAGCAGTCACAATTTTAATCCTACTTTAGGTACCTAAACAACAAGCTTTAAATATATTTATTTAATACATGCAAATGACTATACCTACATACTTATACTGGCTTTAGATAAAACATTGATAAGACGATTAAGCTAAGTATACTTAGAGCTTATACGTAGGTACATACTTAGATATGTTTCCAATTGAAAAATTGCACGTGTGTTTATACCTATGAGATCTACAGCCATTGTTTGTTTATCACCTTTATATAGTGCTGGAGGCCCTATCATCATCAGCCCATAAGTGCCCACTGCTGAGAAACGACCTCTTCTCACACGGAGAAGGTTAGAGCAATAATCACCACGCTTGCTCAATGCGGGTTGACGATTTTAAACTTTTAATTAGAATTTATAGGCCCAGGTTTCCTCACTATGTTTCCCTTCACCGTATGTCAGTGGTGTCTAAATAATCATAGAAAGTACATATAAGTCGAAAAAAGTCACATTGGTACTTGCCAGGTTTCGAACCTACACCCTCATGCATGAGAAGCGGGCTGCTTTACCTCCGGGCCACCACGACTATCGCCTAATGACAATTATAACCACAAAACTTTTGACATAATCCTATCCTGCCAATTTAAAGAATGTTAAAAGTTTTGAGGATATATGGATGATATTTGCTTCTTCTGTATTATTCCTTTCCAGAACGGATAAGAACTTTACTAAGACTAAGGATAGGCGTGATACCATCAGGGCCGATCCTGGAGCGTCGCCAGGACGATCGGGTAGGAAAACGAAAATAAGAGAGAGCCATGCTTCGGCACAAATGGGTCGGCTCAACCGAAGTGGTACCGCGGCCTCAGAAAAAACCGACGTAAAACAACCAGCAACAACAGCATTATGTTTCACCATGTGAATGAGATTACCGGAGGCGCAATCCTTCCCCTTCCCAAATCCCGAAATGTCCAAATCCCTGATCCTCAAAAGATCGGCATTGCACTCGTAACTTCTCGCGTTGATGTCGCGGGTGTCCATGGGCGGCGGTGATTGCTCACCATTGGGTAATCCGTCTAATCTTTTGCCGCTCTATCACATAAAAAAAAGACCCGAAACATCTGACGCCAGGCCGAGGTTTTCATTAATAAGGGTGTCAATTTTATTTGCACCGACTAAAAACGTTCATGGTATCGGCACTGGATATAATATTATGTAAATTGCACATGTTATAATGTGTCTATTTTGAGAGAAATATAAATAACTATTGCTATTAACACCTTACGTTCTAAGGTCAAGGTTCTGCGTAACAAACTACTTATACGTGACATAGAGTTTCCTGTGGTGTGTATAAGTCTCCTGTTTATTTTCAAAACTGGTAACTAGCTTAACTTAACCTAAACATCATGCATGGGAAAGCCAGCGGCGCGTTAGCGGGAAGTTTCACAACATTAAATCATCAACCTATAAAGTGCCGTGCCCACTGCTGAGCAAAGACTTCTTCTCACACGGAGAAAGTATGAGCATTCGCCAGACTTGCCCAAGGCGTATTGGCGATTTCAAACTTATAATTAAATTATAATATATGTCCCCGGTGAAGGAAAACTTCGTGAGGTTTCCTCACGAAGTTTGTCAGTGGTGTCTAAATACCTAATCATAGAAAGTATATCTAGGCATAACTCGGAAAAAGTCACATTGGTACTTGCTAGGTTAGGAAACCGCACCCTCATGCAAGAGAGATAAGCGGCCAAGCCAGCGGCGCATTAGCAGAATGTCAAAGTTTCTTTACTGAGAAGCCCGCTAATCACATTAACATAAACAGTTAAAGGGTTAAAATATCAAATACGACGTTTGTAACTATAGCCATATACTCCCTACTAAATGATAAACATGACAGAAACTCCTGAAGTTACAATAGTAAGTAGACACATAGCACATTTTCAGGCGACTCCGATCTTCTTAATAGATTTTACAAGCATGTAATTATTGCAAGTAGTTGGAGCGTACTAGACTATACAATGGTCCGAAAGAGACCTGCTTGAATGTAGGAACTATTTAGATCTAGGTAGGAACTATAGATACCAATCTCAAATTGTTTTGGGTGTTAGTGATACTGAACTTCATCTTCACAACCATTTTGTCTCAGTACCTACATATCCACAAAATAAAAAATGGGTTGGCCAGCGAAAATGCTTGTTGGCATGAAGCCCACCCATGTACATTGTGTATAAAGATAAATTAATAAGTAAAATGAAAGTAAAATCCTTTTTAACCCCCGTTTGACGTGTCTGTCTGTCTGTCTGTCTGTGCATCCTGGAGCCTGAACGGATGAAGCGATTTCGATTTAGTTTTTTTGTATTAAAGGTGACTTACGTGCGAGTGTTCTTAGACATGTTTGACGAAAATCGGTTGAGCCGTTTAGAAGTTATGGGGGGTAAGTGGGGAAGGGTAACCGAAGGTCTGCAAATATACTCGAGTGGGGTCTCAAATGAAAGCGCACTAAAAGGGAATGTTGATGGCTTAATCGAGAGAAAATTATATAAAATACCTATAAAAAGTATAAAATAAAAAAAAAGAACTAGACCCCCGACAAAATAGAAATATGTAGTAGATAATAAAATATTTTGATCGGTCCCCCAAAGCAACGTTTTTTTTTATTTAAAGGAATATTAAATTTTATGTCGGGGCTTTTTTAAATATTATTTTTTCAGCAAATTGGATTATTAAATCTACCAATACCAATTATTAGTAAACACTAACCCGCAAAGAAGCATATAGCCAATAGCATTCTCCGGAAGCTACTCACGTGATAAAGAGTGAGGGGGCACCATTTGATTCCTTGCCAAATGTCTGCAACGAGCGTCTCGGAGATATACCAGGGATGTCCAGGTACGCCAAGTCTGGACCTGTGGGCGTAGAAATGTATAAAAATATTGGCTATAACGTCGTTCATTAAATTGTTCTTTCTTCGCTTGAGAAGTTTATTTAATGTTCTAAGAAGAACAGAGATTTATTTCGTGAATACGAAGTTTTTCTTGTATGTTCTGATTACTTAGTATAAATATTTTTTCTGAAAAAGCTATTCATATGTTGCGTTATAAATCTGTAAGCATCCGGAGTGATACCACGGCCTCACAGAAAACCGGCGTGAAATAACCACTGCGTTGTGTTTCGTCGTGTGAGTGAGGTTACCGGAGGCCCAATCCTTCCCCTTCTCCAATCCCTCCTCAATCCCTAAATCTCCAAATCCCTAATCCCTAAAAGGTCGGCAACGCACTCGTAACTCCTCCGTTGCGAGTGTCCATGGGCGGCGCTGATTGCTTACCATCAGGTAATCCGTCTGCTCGTTTGCCGAACTATTGTATAAAAAAAAAATCTACATCTCTTCTGTAAGGGAAAAGCTCTCTTACAGCGTGAATTTCGTCTCATTGTTTGGGTGACCAATGATACCTATTATATGTATATATATATCAGGTTTTCCTAATGTGTATGTGGTGTATGCCAATTATTTCGGTCAAGTTATATTAAATTATTTATAATAAGTACTAACAAAATCTACACATTTAACATTATTCTGGTTATGTACATATATAAGTAAGTACTATGACCGATATTTATATCTGCCACAACATGCAATAAAAGAGTTATTATTGTACTATTGTAGCTCCATTTCCCAACTTACAGAAAAGGATATTAAACTTTAGCCCTTTATTGATTGCAATTTGTTCCACGTGAAGAGATAACAATTAAGTGCTAAACTGAAGCATAAAAATGACGTCACACACAGGTGTCTAATGAACTTCGATAAACGGCGAATGTAAATCACTTCCGGAGATAATGTGTGATAACAAAACATCATCAATTTATTTTATCAACACCAATGAGATTTTGAACAAATTAAAAAGGTACCGAGGACATAGTAGGTAGGTAACAATGTATGTATAAGTATAAATACATATAAACAAACAATCGAGGTTGGTATTTCCATTTGATATTTACAAAAACAGGTCGCTAAACATACCTACATATTTTTCAACTAGTAGTCTTGAGCAATATCAGAAAAATCATTGATTTAAATAGGTACGAGTAGGTTAAAGCGTGGTCTCTTTGTTCCAATGACGATATAACCACTAAGTATATCCTCTTTGCTTTGTTCCTATTCACAGAAAATATCTGTCCTAATATCCACTGTTAAGTGTGCATCAAATGCCTGGTTGTAAAATGTGAATAAATTCAGAGGTAAATTAGGCACCAGCGCTCTGCACCTCGATCAGACACACGTAGCCCCTAGCGCCCTAGGCACTCGCTATGTTTGCTTTAGAGAAACCTAATACGGTACTGGATTAAATAGTTTGCAATAACTTTTATACATTCTAGATGAACAACGAATTACTGGACAATCTGGGAGATGCGTCGCGGAATCAATTCACGGTTTTGTTCATGGACATCCGCAACAGCGGAGGAGTTAGGAGTGCGTTGCCGACCTTTATGGGTTCTGGGGATTTAGGGATTGGGGGAGGGGAAGGTTCGGCCTTCCGGTATCCCCACTCACACGGCGAAACACAACGCTGTGGTGGTTTCACGCCGGTTTTCTGTGTGTTTCCCATTTTTATCGAAGCATGGCTCTCCTACACTTAAAATTAATTAAGTCGATGTTCCCTATTACCATGACTTCATAGGCGATAATTTCATAAATTTAAAATAGATTATTTACAAAATCCATCCAAGTAATCCACGAAAACACTTGAGTCTAGATATTAAAAACACAAACAAAATAACAAACGATATGTGTAAAAACTTATAGTAAGTAGGCACTAGGAGTATAATTCCTCCATCATAATGTTTATTCAGTAATATAGAAGCTAAGTACAATTCTACGTAACATAACAAGCTTTTTTATTTTTGATACGTTTATTCTGTGTGAAAGTGAAAATTTGTGATAAAGGTGAAAACCTATATAAGTGAGAAAAAGAATGATGTTTCTAATAATTAGGTACAATGATAAAAATTTCCGAAAACGTCAATTAATATTTAGGTACTTCGCTTCAGTATGGAAACTGAGTCATTTCAGTAGCCACACTTTCGATCTCTTGACCAATTAGGGTGTCACACTTTCAGTTTCTTAACCAATGACGATATAACCATCGTGGTTATCATCCATGCTCTTGGCCAACAAGGTTGTTGTTGAAATTTGAAAAATTAAACATATTTATCTACATAATATATATCAAGTTAGTAAAGGAGGTTTGTATAGCCACTTACCGCCATCAACAATCTCACAAAGTCCAGTGTCGGACACAGATCGTCCTCTGGAACGAAAATCCGGCCGAGCTCTCTTGAAGAAGGTCCAATGCCTCGCCACAGATGACCGCAAAATGCGATTGAACCTTAACAAATAATCCCGAATGAATAAAAAACACTTAAACAATAACATTTTGAAAGAAACACGTGCACTCCTGAATAAATACTTCTTACAAACAACGATATCTCATATCATACGCATAGTGAGTTTATTTGGTAATCTTTTGTAGTAAAATTGATTAAATCTACCTTACCAGGTATTTGTGATAATTGTTATTATAATGTGTTTATAAATAGTTTTCCATTGCCATTACAGTCAAAGGAGGTAGAGGATAAGATATGGCCGAACGGAGCAAACACTGTTTTTGGCTCTTTACTTATTCAAGCTAAGCATACATTTGTTGATTTTCAAAAGTGCCAAGAAAGTAGTGCTACGAATGTATCTTGTGTCAGAGGTTAGTCTCGCTTTTTATATATTATTTAGATTCAGCCTGATCTAGTTACCGGAGGAGCGGGTACAAGCATAATAAGGTACCACGGCCTGGAGAAGGAACGGTGTGATTTTTAACCCCCGAACGCAATAACGACGGAGTGCTATAAGTTTGACGTGTCAGTGTCTGTCTGTGGCATCGTAGCTCTCAAACGGATGATCCGATTTTAATGCGTTTTTCGCTTGGTTTAGTTCTTCAAGTCATCAGGTCGTTTGTAAGGTGTGATAGGAATGTTTACTCTTAGTTTACTTGCAGGGGTTTCCCATAATTTTGGTCATTTCTCGCCCCATTCAGGGCGAGTGCAGTTATTTCATGATTTTCCATTCTCAAAAAAGGCTTAAGTCACACACTTACAATTTTTGTCTTCTTAGTATTTTTTTTACTTCTGATACCAAACACGATTATAAATTAGACGCAATTGAAATTTATTAATGAGTACTAAATGTATACTATATTACAGCTAATGCTGATGGGTTATTGCCTTACATACTTACAACAATTAATTACTGCGTATGATGTACGTTTTTATCTAAATATCTAGATAGCCTTAGACATATGTGAGGCATTGACCTATTCTCATACAAGGAAAAACGAGTGCTAATCACCACGGTTGCTCAAAACGAATTGGTAATTTACGATCTGAGTGAACAGGTTGCCGCTTTGTATGTAGCTATTCTAATTAGGCGTAGTACGTAGCAACTATAGGCGGAAAAAACGAGGAGACGGATCACCTGATGGTAGGTAAGCAATCGCCGCCACGTATGGAAGCTCGTAACATCATAGGGGTCTCATGTGCACTGCCTTTTGTGTGTTTCAAAAGATTTGAGGATATGGGTAGGGGAATTGGGGATTGAAGATAGAGGGGAACGTAAGCCTTACTCGTATTCGCCGTGTGAATGATAAGGCCCAATCCTTGACCTCCCCCGTACCTCCACCTCAATCCATAACTCCTTTGGTACTGCAGGTGTCAATGGCCGGCACTGATTGCTTATCATCAGGTAATCCTATAAGTGTGGGAGAGCCATGCTTCGGCACGAATGGGTCGGCTCGACAGGAGTGATACCACGGCCTCACAGAAAACTGGCGTGAAATAACCAATGAGTTGTGTTTCGCCGTGTGAGTGAGGTTACCGGAGGCCCAATCTTTCCCCTAACCCAATCCGTTCCCTTTCACAAAATCTCCAAATCCTTAATCCCTAAAGGTCGACAACGCACTCGTAACTCCTCTGTCGTTGCGCGTGTCCATGGGCGACTCTGATTGCTTACCATCAGGTATCCGTTTGTTTGTTTGCCGAAATATTACATAAAAAAAACCATCTGCTCTGTTTTCGAACCTAGCCCATAAAAAAGACTTGTCGTCCGCAGCTGGTGTTAAGTTACAGCTTCAAAAATTAGTTACAAACAAAACAGTCTCCTCTCTATAATTTCTCGCCTTCACTCTCGCCTTGTATTACGGCCACGACCTTACTCTACAGATCGCACGCCTACGTCATTGCAACGCACAATCATTAACACATTTACAGCTTAAAAGAAACGAGTGTTAGATATTCAATAACTAGGTCAATAAGTTTATCTGAGATATATCGGAATGACCGCCTCATTTGTCTAGTGCTAGTCGAGAAACGAATAATCACGTTTATTGTAGCCGAAAGCTTTCCTTATAAAATACCTACGGTCGGATCGCCTGCGTGGATGTCGATTTTACACTACCTATCTCAAGACTTTTTTTAAATTTTCTCTACGTGCAAACCTCAGATGCAAACCTCTGGACTTCAAATAATTCTAGACCAAAATTAGCGAAATCGGTAAAGGCATTGTTAAGTATTACAACGAAAAGTGGCGTTGATTTTTATAAGTACATACCTACCTTTAGATTTATTTTATTTTGTTTGAATACCTACGTTTACATATGTTGTTATGGCAGCGGACGCGTCATCTGTTCTAAAAAATTCTAATTAGCTACTTGACTTTCTAGCTATCACAGTTAATGAGAGACACTCTGGTGTCAGACAGACGGACGAAAGGACCGCGGAGCCATATCTAATAATTAAAAAAATTGAGTGGGGAAATTCATTAAAATTACTTCTCCCAACCAGGGTGCGGCGAGACGGATTGTCTTGCTAACTTAAAAACCCCATTTCTTCTCCAGCTCAAAGCCGTGGCCGCGGTACCTTATGGCGCTAGACTTGCAAGCTCGGCTGAACTTCGGCCCTGTTGGGCCTCATCTGTGGTGGTCTATTCTCTCTTTGAGTCCTAGTAAGAAGTCTGAGGTTGTATGTAATTTAGAGTCGGGCTCTGTAACTTTTTTTAGATATGAATTATTAGTAAAATCGGGAAAAATCTACTAAAAAAGCAATAGAGTCATCCATCCGCTTCACACAAACCTCAAAACTAGTGAAAATTGAATGTGATATTTTAGGTAGATACAATATGGGAACCTTGATCTATCTAAATAATCTGTCCTCCCTTTGAGGCTTAATAGAATTGAGATGTTTTCTTATATATTTTATATATACCCAAAATCCCAACGATTCTTTCCTCTTGTGGTTAAAATCTATAGAAAAGACTGTGTTTGTTTGATTAACCCAATTAGACTAACTTCCGCACGGCTCGCAGTAACCACAAGCCACAACAAACGCAACAATATTCGGAGCGGTCGGTTGCCCATTCATTAATTGATAAATTATTCTTCTTCTAGTTCAATATTTTGTAAAAGGCATTTTTTGTTAGGGGAATATCTTCTGGAATGTGTTCTCCCATCCAGGGTAAGGCGAGAGAGAGTGTCAGACTCTTAATGACTAAAAACCCCTCCGTTCCTTCTGCTCTGGGCCGAGGCCGGGGTGCCTTATATTTTGTAAAAGGTACATCCAACTTCATGTTTATAAATAAAACTACTCACAAGTTTTACAACCCAGTATTGAATTCCAGCACTCCGATCAATTACGATTGCGACTAGGCCAAGGTTTATGTATTTAGAAATTAAGATTTATGACTTGCTCCTCTATAACTATAAATCCATCACACAACACATAAAACTATGATTTTTGAGTGCCTACTGACGAATTGCAATTAGTATAAAATAACAAGATGGTATGCTATAAAAATAAAGCCCGCGTTACGAAGCGTAGTGTTGTGACTATGAGTAATATTTTCAATATTTATGCTTCTATTATATTGTTATAGATTATTGTAACTAAGTAGTAAAATATATTTAATAAATAGTAGGTAATGACTACAATCGTTACTGTCAAGACATTCGTGATTCATGCTTGCTTGCATGTTTATGAAAACAGGGTTTTGAAGAATAATACTACCCTCTAAAATATGTCATAGGATCTCTAAAATATATTATAGTGAAAATATAGAGAGGTATGGGGAACAACGGAAGAGAGTTTAGTTCCAGTAGAATGTAACAGACAAGGCTGTCACGGATCCATGGATCGGGGATCAAGGGACGATCTCCGGCCACCGTAAGCACGGGCCTGCGGTCGGCGAGTAAGGGCAGCTCGCCGCCCGACCAGAACCAGGCCCGAGCGTACGGAGCGTAGCGTTCCGCGCGCGCCTCAAAGAGCCATTAGACCACCACAGACGGGGCCCTAAAGGGCTGATGTTCAGCCGGGGTTGCGGGGTAAGCGCAATGAGGCACCGCGACCTCGGCACAAAGCAGGAGAAGGAACAGGGGGTTTTTAGTCAGTAAGAGTCTGACACTCCCTCCTGCCCGGCCCTGGGCGGGAGAAGTCATTTCATGATTTTCCCCTCACAAAAAAAAACGAGACGGATCCATGGATAGACGGATAATACATATAGGCAGGTACTACCTAGGTATATATTGTTTCTACATTATCTTAAATAATAGGTACCTAGGTAAACAGGAAAGTCCAATGTACGGTATTAGGCATGTGTTTGGACTATAATGTTGCCAACTTTACTAGTTTTTTGTAAGTCTTGAAATATAATTTCTATAAATAAACATTACGATTAACAGGTTCTAAGGATAACCAATACCTAGCTGTGTATCGTAAGATTATTAAGGCACCACTGACATACGGTAAATGATGATTTATATGAATGAAATGAACATCGTGAGGAAACCTGAACTTACCTATATAATTTCTAAGAATAAGTTTGTAATCGCCAATCCACATTGAGCAAGCATGGTGATAAATGCTCAAACCTTCTCCCTTTTAGAAGAGGCCTTTGCTCAGCTGTGGACAGTTGTAGGCGGATGATGTGATATGTGTATTTTATAAACACCAAAACTAAACAAAATACACCAAAACTTCTAGTTTATAATTTGAAAATTGCTTCTTAATTTCGTCACTTTATCAGTTAGCAACACTAAATTAAAACTACCTACTCGCATAGGTCACTGGCTTTGTGACATTAGGTATCTTATCTAACTAGGTACTAGGTACCGACTATGTGTTAGCATTTCGAGCATCTACCTACTTACAACACCTACATCAGACACAAGAGCTGCATAATAATGTTCGTATTAGTAGAATATCGATTTAATCTAAGACTTCCCGCCCACATCAAACTGTCTAATCGAATCATAGTAAGATTACATGCACCAATAACTCGGTGACTAATACACTATTCATGAGCACTTGCTCTTAATTAAAGAGCACAATTTAATTACAAGTTCTTACCTCCTGAGTGGCGTATCATAGTTCTCTGATGACGAGCTGGTCGATGTCGATGTATCACTTCTACTCGAGTTCAAGTGGCTTAAATGAGCAACTGCGTACATTTGACAACTCGCACTTTTCCTCAAAGGCCCAGGCTTTTTGGACCCCGCCATTGCACCTTCCACCATAACACCAAGAAATAAGTATCGTTTTTGCACTTAACATCCAGTAATGTAAAAAAAATACTATCCGTCCACTTTGAAATCAGTTTTTAAACTAAGAATTTGTTGACTATCTCAACGGATAACATTCGCACATGAAAATTTTGTCACTCGCTTCTATATTTAAAACTGAGATGTACAGATTGGCTCGGCGCACGCGCCGGCGTTCAGTATTGCAAACTGACTTGACTCATCATACAATTAGATCAGTTGAAAAACGCCCAATTCATCTTTACTACCGCGCATTACTGGAATTCATAAACATTTTACGTAAGTCTTTACAGACGGACAGTGCGATCTGTACGTTGATTCAGATTTAGGTATCTAACATCACTCAGTAGCAGAATGCTTATCTACCCACATGTTAAACTCAGGGTCAGATATTTTTTTATATTACGATTCTTTTGTTTTAAAACGTATAGGTTCTCTTCCAGATTACCAAAGAATAGCAGATTACTTTGTTTGACGCTCAGTGTATTGGTCAATATCAATTACAAATCTAAGATTATTTTCATTACCTACATATAAATTTTTTCAACGGCCCTGTTGGATTTACTGCAATGTCCAACACATGTGTTCAGGGTCGTCGAATCATTTTCTTGATCATGGATTTGTAGTTTGTCTTTTATAAACATTCTCAGAAATATACTAGAACATCAAAACGCATATGTTGATAATAAGGTCTCTTTTCGTTTAGTTAAATATTGGTTAAAGTTTTATTCAACAGCCATCTAATCAGGGTTATTTCTGTTAAGATGCAACAATGTAAGGCATACTTGCAAGCCTCAAATATTAGATATCAACAAGAGTCGAAACTTTATTGAAAAAAATCTGAGATTATTAATTTCAGGGAATAAAACAAAAAGTACTATAACCGTTAAAATATTCTTTATTAACATCTAGCTAGAACCAACTTATAAGTTAGAACAAACACATAATTTATATGTATATAGCTAAAGAACATTTGTAGTCTTATAACAATCGCTGTATGTTTTACAGGAGAATTTATTTTTTGTAGTTACATGACTATGAACACTTATTTCATTACATTTATATAAACACAATTGCCGTAAAAACAGCATATACGCTGTGGTACAAAAATAAAGGGAGAATCTATCCGAAAATATTATGCAGCAAATAAACATAGGTCCACATAAACGGAAGCCTAAACTTACAAAAAAAGGATCACTGCTTAAAATATTGATACTAAAATTAATGTAGTTGACCAACCTACTATTAATAAACATTATGTGACATTATATTTGATCAATAACATAAATAACGTGGTACTGGCATTTAGCCATACAGAAATGGCTTACCCAAGTACCTATAGGTCCTTTATACTTGAAACAATTCGGTTTTAAAAAATATAAAATCTTAGTATATAAATAATATTCAATGACTGCTTTTATTAATTATATTTTACGACTTTATGCACGTCTGTCGTTCAATGCTATTTATCGTAATGTTACTCGTGACTATGAGCCCCGTGCGGAGCTCGAAACTTGTCAAGTCATTCAGTAACAGTTATGTGAGCAAGTCGTAAAGCAGTATTTATTTAATGACTTATTAAATTTTTTACGGCATACAATTTCTTAAAATTGTTGGTAAGTGCAATATTTTGTTGTGGATATTTTAGTAAAGTATGTCAAGTTGAGAACAAACTGTTCTATCATGGGGGAACAATCATGTAAAAGATTCTGTATATTAAAATCTGTTTTTGTAAAACAATAAATATAGTAATTAAATACTATTAATATATAAACAAGGCAATTCATAAGTAAAAACCATATTTGTTATGGACTCTGTTTTGTTAATGAGGAACTTAAATACTAACTTAACATTTATTCACCTAATGATACGTGTAGCGAAAAACTCAATCAACTTTTTAATTTAATTTGAGAGCCAGTCCCATTCAGCGCAAACGAGTTACCGACTACGCAAGACATATGTTATTTTCGATAAAACAGCAATGTTGGTAAGGTGGTTCATGGCCAAAAAACTTACCTATCATCATAAAAAATATTGCACATATTTTTTATATTATTCCAATTTATTTTTCGCTACTCATATCATCGCCTTATTTTACATGGAAAAATCTTTTAAAGGACGTACAAACAGTACTTTGGCAGCACAATTTATATTAGCAACCGTATGTAAAAGGAATAAGAACGTCAATAAACTTTAAGGAACAAATTTGTCACTGTTAAACAAAAAGCTTGTTGTCTAACTACGGGAATATCTTTTCTCATTATTGTATTAATATAATTCTTCTTAATAGTACGGTCTTCTCGGGTTATTCTGAAACATAAACAAAGATTTTTAAACAACCTCCAACATCCTCCATATTCCACCTAAACCATAAACAGGTGTTATTGAGACGGCAAAACATACCCCTGTATTGCCCACAAAAATTAATCGAATGAATGATCAAAATCAACAACTATGTACAAAATAACAATCAATGGAGCGCGAACGGGATTTTATACAAATTAAAAAATATGTTAAACAACAGATTTCATTGAAAATTGCTTTGGTGTAGTATGGTACACGCAATATATTTCGATAAAAAGTAAATTACCATTTGTTTAAAGAGTTTACTATCTTAAAACCTTTTTATTTGTCACTAAGAAGTTCACAGGAATTTTTCGAATCAGTTCATTACTTTAACAGCCCTTTACAGTCCACTACGTAACTAAACCTCGTCTAGGAGTTTGCTTTAATCTCCAAGCTTGGCAAGGAGGTTACATATCGTATATCGATAAAGGGCAAACATTGCCTGTGGTAGACATTTTGGCAAACATCCTTGATATAATGTCAGTTTGTTTTCTATAGTGGACTCACGTTTTTGCGTAGGAGGAAGGAAATAAATCGGGATCAAAGCACGTGAATCCCGATAACAATATAGGTGCTTGTCTATAGGCTATTTATAACCGATTGTTAGTTGGGCTGTTGTCGAGTTATTGATTCGTTTTATGTAATAGTACTTTTCGCTTTCCCGTTTTCCCGTCCCGCTGACTGGTTCCTTGTGACCGAGCTAAGGAGACTTAGGACACTTAGATTTTCGAGTCATATCTAACTTTTTAGTAGATAATTTGCAAATTCAAAGACCGGCTGTTAATGGTAAAAACCTAAACATACTTATAAATAATGTAACTACGCAGACAAAAACAAAATACGTACAAGAAATCTACAAAAACTAATAATTTATTCAAATACCATTCAAAAACTTTACATAAATTTTCAATGGCAATAAATATAATTATAGAGATTTTCGAGAGTTTTCTGGTGTTTAAAAGTTGAATGTACTTACATAACTTCAATTACAATGTATCAATCCCTGAATTGATATAAGCGTGTTCTACCATATTAGTCAAGAACATTTAAATTGAAATGAATCAATATTTAGAGGTTCATTCGACTAAATTTTTGCCCATATTTGGAAGATAACTATTATTTGACCATTACACACTACCTCTTCTTGAACGACGTTCATTTATTTAAATAGTTTTAAATACTAATGACATGGCAGTCTCGACATTGATATCGGCAAAAATCTTATCTATAAGTATCGAATACGTTCATCAATTTTTACTTCGTGATTCTAAGCCTCGGTTTCCGAAAGGCCGATCAATGTTAAAATCAATGTAATATCTTGTCAAGTCATCTGATTGGTTGACTGAATTATCAACAACCAATCAGATGACTTGACAAGAGATTTAACAGGAGATTGGTTAATTTTAGCGTTGACAAGCCTTTCAGAAACCGGGTGTAAGAAAGTATTTCAGTTGAAAAAGTATAAATAAAAATTTTAAGTATCGAATAATTTTTGTGGCCAATATTGTGAAATTTCCAGAGCAGATTAGTCGCTATCTTCAGATCTTTGCAGACTTTCACAAACTTCATTTAATTGTATAACTCAGTGAGAAATGCCAATTAATAATAGAGACTTACCAAAGGATTAGGTCTAAACCTGTAGGCGAGCATCATTCGTTTCCGATAGGCGTCGAATTCATCGTCTTCTGCTGAAACTACGTCCGATGTCGAAGCTCCCAAACCGAGGTTGGCTACGGGCTGATTGGCTCTAAATAACAAATAATCAATATAATATTTTAATACTCATTACTTAAGACAAAAGTCAAATTAATGGATTCAGATAAGAAAGACAAAGTGTCGAAAAATTTATATTCTTACTAGCCCCCGACCCTGGAACGAACCTTGAACGGGTGTGTATCCAACCAAGCTAAAGACGAAAGAATCCCTAAATCCAAATTGTACTTTTAAAAATATTCTTTCATACGAAACTTTACAGACAATAACAGACATGACAAAAAGAATTGGCAAATTTGATCCAAGCATTGTTGAGTTATGAGCTTACCATTAAGATTTTTAGACTATGATATCCAAGAAATTATTATAAATGACATTGTTCTATGAAATTTGAAAATTAAAAACATAATTTAGAACTGAACGATAATAAATAAATAAATAGACAATTTCGTCTAACAGAACCATTGATTAGATTATGTGGTATTTAGTTGGATACATACATATATATTAATTTATTCCGAATCAATACTAAAGCGCCGACAAAAATGTGTACCTACATTTCCAGTTTTATAACATGATATTTGACGTCAATCAACATACAGTTTAGAACATACATACATGGCATTCCAAACCAAAAATGCGGTAACGAAAACTCAACAACCGGATCAACAAGTTCTTTTTATATAGAACTACATACACATTTGTTTGATAAGAACAAAATTAGTATGATAGTTTTCGACTTACTATATGAAATTCATGCCAAGTTTTGGTCCTATTGGTTATTAATGTATGAAAGAATAATGATGCATGCTTCGGCATGATTAGATACGAATCGAGTGATACCAGAGCCTTAAAGAAAACCGGCAAGAAACAAGTAACAACGCTGAGTGGTGCTGAGTCAGTGAGATTACCGAAGGCCCAAACTTTCACCCTACCTAATCCCAAGTCCTAATCCCTAAAATAAAATCGAAAAGGCCGGCAACGGACCTATAACTCTCTCTTGTGTTACAAGTTGCCATGGACGGCACTGATTGGTTACCATAAGGTAATCGGTTTGATTGTTTGACGAAGTCCTGCTTAACTGTACCGATAAACTCAGTGTAAAGTTATTGAACATAATAACCTACATTAGCCAGTAGATCTGACAAACAAACAAAACGTACGAATATGAAACTAACATCCTTCGACATAAAGTTAAAGATTGTACTTACTTGTTAATAGGTTCAACGATGCCTGAGCCTTCAGCGCCTAGACCCTGTCCTTCCGTCCAACCCAGTTTTTGTAGCATTTTGAAACCTGTTGACAAAAGAATAAGAATTATTTTTAATCAATAACATTTCTGCATAGGTTGTTTACATTGAGCATTCGAAAATGGGTTCAATAAATTATGAAAATAATAATATGTAATTAATTTGTAGTATTCGACCGAGTTTGGTGAAGACTCAATGCCTATCCCTGAGCTGTTTGCTTGTGTGCTCCAAAAATCCTGTCCTATATATACAGGGTGTAAGGGACAGCTTTACGGAAAAGCTATTTCCATCCATGATATCTGCACATCAAACAAAAGATAGGATATGTCTTCAAGAAATACTATTATCATTGCTCTTCTAATCATTTTAAGATACAAATGATAAATATTGAACATTTACCTAGACATTGTAACATATTTGGGATAATATCTGTATTTGTCATCAGTATGTAAACCTCATTCAACTACTGGACGACATCCAAGCAATGAAACGAATTCGTAGAATAATGATGCTCACCGAATATTTGACTGATTATATTTTGATCTTATATTCGGAAGAGGAAATGACCTCGTATATGGGGAAAACATTTCGTTTTGAATTCAGACCTTAAGGTGCATTTCGTAAACATGAGATGATATGTTATTTTTCCGTGTAAATTACAATCAAAACCGGAATTATCCCGCTTAAGTCAAAATAGCTAAAAAAAAACTTATTTTTCTGAAAACTGCGTATATATAGCGTGTGCAAAGGCACTCCTAATCCTCTGATTAGGAGTGCATTTGCACACTTGCAAAATAAATAAGTAAAAGATAAGTATCAAGAAAAGTCTTCTGTAATAAACACAGAAGCTAAAATTCGAATCAAAATATCTTCAAATTCTTAGTTAAATAACTAAATCATTAGCCAATAATGTAATGTTACATAAATATTCTTTACAAGTGATAACATGTGAAAGTGTGAATTAATTAGCAGAAACTATGTTCTCTAGAATGACAGCCAAATTCTATCAAAATTTGTTACTGCGACATAACTTGACATTGCAATGCTTATAAATAGTTCAGACAATAGAAGATGCCAAAATATTCGACAAATTACACTCACAGAAAATATGTACGTAGTACATGTTAAGATATAGAAAAATGCAAAAGGTTCATTACCGAAATCTACTAACCTAACTAAAAACTATAATAGTGTCATTTAGGATTTCTATGTGCCCTTCTAACCAAACTAATGGGAGACGTACGAGACCTACGTTATTATATTGTTTTAATTGGAAAAAAAGTTTAAACTATTTTTCAGATACAACTTCGGCGCGAATGGGCGGAATGACACAACGACCTCACAAAAAACACTTACGTTGTGTTTCCACATCATCAATCCACAATATTTGAATCCCGTATTACCCACAAGAGGCCGGAAACGCACTTGTAATAACTCCTTTGACGCTGGCTCCTTTGATTGCTGACCATCAGGTTATTCGTCTACTCGTTTGAGGACATAAAAGAAAGGCTTCAATTGATTTTTCATTTAGAGTTAATCATTATAGAGATTTGATGATAAAAGAGGTCGTACATTACTACGGGCACATATTGAGTTCGTAGTGCTGAAGCATTGGAATAAAACCTGAACATTGACTCATTAACTTTATTAAACTCCAACCTTCTGAATCTATTTCTGTCGAGGAAAATGCTCTGTAATATTTAGGCGCACTCACCGACATTGTCTTCCTTTAACTTGAATTCTTTGTAGTCACTCAAATCTGGCTCCTTGCCACTTTTGAATGCAGAATATTTCTCCATGAACCTGCAATTTAGCCTTTATTAATAACAACGTATAGTACTTTTTATACACACAAGGTGGAACAGTGATAAGAATTTAAAATAAATATTTTTTGAAGAGCTTCTTACACTACCTACTTATAAGTTGATTCAACAAACATAAGTCGTGGATAGTACATACAGACAAATGTCGATCTATATTAAAATGTATCTACGTCTTTACTACGTGGTTATTTAGATATTGTGAAAGTGTCTTCAGTGGCAACTTGAGAGCCTAGTGAGAGCTTAAAATAATTCGGTAGTTTCCTCAGCCGAAAAAACAATAGAAACTTATAAAAACAAAAACTTTATTAATTAAATTACTTAATGATATACTTCTTAGTATTCCTTTTTTTTAGATAATGCCACAGAAATAAGTTTCCTATTTGACGTAAAAAATATGACTTCACAACGTGCTATCTCACAGACAATTCATGTAAAATTTCAGAAAAAGTATTGAATTTAGCCAGTTAGAACTACCCAAATATTTACAGAAACCAGTACAACCTTGAAATTATGGAACGGATTGTTAAAAAACACTGCAACTCTCGAACATTCGACTTGAAAAAGAAATTATTTCAAGCAATAAAACAAAGCAGACTAAACATAAAAACAGAACTAAACGTCGTAATACATTTAAACAGTGAACCAGAAACGAATAAATTGTGTTTATAAACAACTAGCTCTTACCCGCGGCGTCGCTCCCGTCATTTGACTACCTGCCCTACTCTACTTACCCTACCTACCCTACTTTACCTACCCTACTCTACCTATCCTACTCTTCCTACCCTACTCTACCTACCCTAGTCTACCTACACTAGTCTACCTACCCTACTCTACCTACCCTACTCTTCCTACCCTACTCTACCTACCCTACTCTACCTACCCTACTCTACCTACCCTACTCTACCTACCCTACTCTACCTAACCTACTCTACCTACCCTACTCTACCTTCCCTACTCTACCTAACCTACTCTATCCTATGTCCTTCTCCTGGCTCTAAACTACCTCCCTGCCAATTTTCAGTTAAATCGGTTCAGCCGTTCTCGAGTTATAAGTGGTGTAACTAACACGACTTTCTTTTATATATATAGACTAGCTACTCTTGCGCGGTTTCACCCATTGCTCGGCTCCATTTAATCGTAACGTGATGTTTTATAGCATATAGCACTCAAGAACATTATAGCTATCTATCCGTGAAAAATTTTGTCAACCCGACCAGCGGTTCCAAAGATTACCCCCCTACATACAAACTTACAAATTTTACCTTTATAATATTAGTATAGACTAGCTACTCCCACGCGGTTTCACACGCTGCTCGGCTCCATTTGATTGTAGCGTGATGTTTTATAGCCTATAGCACTCGAAAACATTGTAGCTATCAATAAGTGAAAGAATTTTGGTAATCCGACCAGTGGTTCCAAAGATTACCCCCTACATATAAACTTACAAACTTACAAATTTTACCTCTTTATAATATTATAGTATAGAAGTATAGATAACTTACTTTCTGAGTTCCTCTGGCGGTAGGAAATCGCCGATGTGATGTTTTCCAGCCGCCTGCTTTGTTAGCTCATCCGCCCACTTCTCTGTTGCATTCATTTCTTTAGCTCTTAACCTATTAAACAGGAATAAAGAATTGAGTACATTCCGATTCAAGGTTAGTAACTATAAAAGTGTTTTGTATGTATGTTATCAAAATGATTGCAATGTAAAATTTGTATTTTTACTTTTATATAAGTATTACAACTAATGTTAAATGGATATGGTATTGTGTTAGATTGATATAGCATGTAAATTGTCAAAGAATATTACGCAGGTAAAAAAAACTGCATCAAGTACATACAATTTTCAGGCTTATGAATCTAAAGATATGATAGATATCATACCAGAAATCAGTCAGATCGAGATTAAAACAAGGATGAGAACAAAAAAAAACATTTTACGATCTATTTCGACGTTATTCATTTATTTGGTACCGTATGCCCCAGTTAGAAAGTCTTTTGGGCGCAAGTCTTGGTATGTTTAATTTGCGACATTAACACATTTATTTAGCAATACAGCAATATCTAAAGTGAATAAGTTATTTCAATGAAGTAAACACCAGTTAAGATATTCAATTTCTATTTTACACAACAACCAAACAAAAATTATTGTTTAGTAACTGTCTTACAATTTTGTTTTTTTGCAGGTCAATAAAAATGAGAGATAAAATCATCGTGGCTGCATACCTTTGTACATGCATTAAAAGAGGTATAGACAATCTTTTTTTTCGATTCTAATTTGATTTACGACTTTATATGAAGTTGTTTATCTAATAAACAAACTTGTCAGATACATACATGACTAAGTTGACTACTGCGTGTTCAAAACATGAGACACGTGGCGCCACCTGTTGTGTTTTTGTTTAACTGAGACGTACATTACGGTGCCAAAAATCCACTTCATATTAATAAGTTATTTGAATTGACATGTTTACTCAGACAAATTAATTATTTTATTTTATCAATATCTACAGAAGTTTAAAAAAATAAAATAACCCTCATTAAATTTAATTGCTCTTTAATGTCAACAATATATTCATTCCCCTTATTATAAAACAAGATTTATCTTAAATAAAAAAAGACAGCTAGTTTTGTAATAAGGCCGATTAAGTTTGAATTGTCGTTTTCTGTTCAATTTGTACTCTTCATCAAAAATCATAGAAAATTATCTTTTTCTTCGAAAGTGTTGCTAGACCAATTTCCAGCCACTGCGGGGCTCATAATCACTAGACAGTTGGTGATTAATTTACTGCATATTTATCTCAATAGTCCCATTACAAGAGGCACAGGACCTTTAAAATTATTTTTCAAAACAATGCAATAATGTTTTGTGTTTTTATCAGCTACTTACTTGTGTTCCCAAGTACCTTCAGCTGTGTCCTCATCACTGTCGTATTCATACTTATACTTGCCAGCAGCTGCCAGACGTTCCACTTCTTGACGTTTCTTTAACATGTCCTGTTGGAATAGAAGCAAAAACAATTATCGATACAGTATACTCATCATCAGCCTGTTGTCGTCCACTGCTGGACATAGGCCTCCCCAATTGCACGCCACTGAGCTCGATGTTCAGCTCTTCTCATCCAACCACTGCCAGCCACCCCGCGGATGTCGTCAGTCCACCTAGCTGGAGGGCGCCCTACACTACGTTTGCCTAGACGTGGTCTCCACTCTAGAACACGTTTACTCCATCGGTCATCGGTTCTTCGACAGATGTGACCTGCCCACTGCCACTTAAGTTTGCTAATCCTTTGGGCTATGTCGATAACCTTAGTTCTCTGTCGGATCACCTCGTTTCGAATACGATCCTTCAGAGAGACTCCAAGCATAGCCCTTTCCATAGCTCGCTGAGCGACTTTAAATTGGTGGATCAGTCGCACTGTAAGTGTCCACGTCTCGGCTCCGTATGTCATCACTGGTAGGACGCACTCATTGAAGACTTTTGTCTTCAGGCTTTGCGGTATCTTTGACGAGAATACCCGACTGAGTTTCCTATACGCTGCCCAGCCAAGCTGTATCCTCCTACGAGCCTCCCTCTCGAAGTTGTTTCTACCGAACTGGATAGTTTGCCCGAGGTAGACGTACTCTTGAACAACCTCGAGAGGAGATCCATTGATGGTGATCGGCTCCGGGAGAACATGTTCATTGAACATGACCTTCGTTTTTTGTAGGTTCATCCGGAGTCCGATGCGAGCAGAGGAATCAGCCAGGCTGTTCAGCATATATTGTAAGTCCTGCACGGTTTCAGCCACGATTACAATGTCATCTGCAAATCTCAAGTGTGAGAGATACTTGCCGTTAATATTTAGGCCCCGGCCTTTCCAGCGCAGCGTCTTGAACATATCCTCCAAAGCATTAGTAAACAGTTTGGGGGAAATAACGTCCCCCTGTCTTACGCCCCGATGCAGGTGGATAGGTTCAGACTGCTGGTTCTGTACTTGAACGACCATAGTGGCAGCATCATATAGATCTCTCAACACTTGAACATACCGCCAGTCGACTTGGCACCGTTGCAAGGACTCCAGAACAGCCCAGGTTTCGACAGTATCAAAGGCTTTCTCGTAGTCCACAAACGCCAGGCATAAGGGCAGATTATACTCTTCGGTTTTCTGTACAATCTGCCTCACTGTATGTATGTGGTCCACGGTACCATATCCCCCTCGGAACCCGGCCTGCTCAGGGGGCTGAAACTCGTCGAGTCTTCGCGCGAGACGATTTGTTATGACCCTGGAAAACAGCTTATAGACGTGGCTCAGAAGAGAAATAGGTCGGTAGTTCTTCAGAAGGGTTTTGTCTCCCTTTTTAAAGAACATAATGACGACACTTTTGCCCCACGCCCTTGGAGTTCTCCCCGAGAATAGAACGGAATCAAACAAGCGTTTAAGTCGCTCAAGCACTGGCTTTCCACCGGCCTTTAGGAGCTCCGTTGTAATTCCATCCTCTCCGGGGGCTTTTCCATTTTTAAGCTGCTTCAAAGCCAACGCAATCTCGTCTTGGCTGATCTCTGGCATGTCTTCGGTAAAGTGGCGGATAAGTGTGGCCCTAGGATCCCCCGAGTCTCGATATGGACGCGGTGCTTTTGAGGTGTACAGATCACCGTAGAAGCGCCGAACCTCCTCGAGAATTTCCGGCTTAGAAGAGACGATATTACCATCCGGTGTGGTCAACTTCGTCAGATGGCTTCGATTTAATTGCTGGCTGAAGACTTTTGACCCCCGGTTTCGCTCAATCGCTTCTTTTATAGCGCGAGTATTGGCGCTTCGGAGATCACGTCTTATCAGCTTTGAGATCTTTTTATTAAGATCTGACGAAGCGACTGATGGGTTGTTACGTCGCCTCTCCATAACCTGTAGGCACTCTCCCGAAAGCTTGGCGCCCCTGCCGGTATTCTGCTTCCGCCATAATCTCGTCCCTTCGTCTCGGAGGATCCCTACTGTTTGGTCAAGTTCCTGGTCGATATCAATGTCATTTGTGGTTTCCAAGGCAGCAAATCGGTTTTCCAGTTTTAACTGAAATGTTTCAGACCCAACCACGGCTTGGAGCAAGTTTGGTCGGAGCGTAGACTTCATGAGACGGACACGCTCGGAGTCATATTTGATGTTTAGAGTGCCTCGCACAAGTCGGTGATCACTTCCGGTATTAAACCTATTGATCACTGAGACATCTCTAAATATTCGTCTCTTGTCCGTCATAATGAAGTCTATTTCATTTTTTGTCATAGCGTCGGGGCTCCGCCACGTCCACTTCCGTTGGGGCTGCTTCTTAAAGAAGGAGTTCATCAAAAATAGCCCCTCTTTTTCCAGGAAGTTAACGAGCATTTGCCCCCTATGGTTCCTGCTTCCAAAACCATGTGGTCCTACTACCGACTCGCCGCTAGTCTGTACTCCCACTTTAGCATTGAAGTCTCCCATGACAACGTTGAAATAGGCCTTTTGGGTGGTGTGTAAGGCCCTGGAAATGTCTTCATACAATTCCTCTACCTCATCATCCGAGTATGTCGAGGTAGGTGCGTACACTTGGATGACCTTTAGGTTATACCTCTTGGTGAGTTTGATCACAAGGTACGCTACCCTTGCTGACACACTGGAGACCTCAACAACGCTGTCTGACAGAGATCTGTGGACCAAAAACCCGACGCCACCCTGTGATGGTTGGTCTCCTTCCCTGTAGTACATGAGGTGGCCAGACTCCAAAGTTACGGTATCCTCTCCCTGTCTTCGGACTTCACATAACCCCAGGATATGCCACCTCACGTTTTCTAGCTCCACCTCTAACTGTGCCAAATGTTCATCGAGCCGTAGCGTGCGTCCGTTATACGTAGCCAGAGTCAGTTGGTGTTGTCGGCCTTTCATAGCCCGGAGATTCTTAGCACCCCCTACCCCGCCGTTACTATGACCGCCGACTTGGCCAAGAATAGCGGGGCGACCGGGAACTGGGGGCCGTTTCGTTAGGCGTGCCATTAGAGGTAATGCCCGTAATCACCACGCTGGGCAGGCGGGTTGGTGATCGCAGGGCGTAACTCCTCGCACTAGTGACGCTGCTGCCCGACACTAGTCTGCTGAATTTGTCTACGCCTACATTTTATGGTTATACCGCCATGAGTCGGTCGCCAGAGCCTCGTTCGTTAATCAGCAGGATGCACCACGAGCAGGTGAGGTTGACTGGGGCACTAAGATAGTATTTTCCCCCTTACATCCCCATCCCGATACAGTATACTATAGGTATGTTTTGTAATCTACAAAATATCCAACAAACCTATACTCAGTTTGTCTGTTGGTTCCAAATTATTATTGATTACTATTCTCTCTATATTTTAAGCCAGGCCTTTTTAATCTTGTAATCCAGATTTATTGGCTTATAGGGCATTTATAATGCCTACCCACTTTTTACTCAGTTATATTAAAGTCACTGATAATAGGGATCAATGAGGCTAAGAGTAGAAATTAAAAAAAAAACGTTTCTTGCTCGATTTTTTTTTGAATCGAATCTAGACTTTGGAGCAAGCACCTAATGCTTGCTCCAAAGTCTAGATTCGATTCGTTCTAGATTCACTGATGAACAGGCTAAAGGACTGTTTATTCTATTTCGCCGCTTCAAAAGTACTGTTTATAGTTCAGTTGGAATAAATGTATTTACTATGATTTAAATTTAAAAAAATCTTTACCTGGTATAAAAGATTGAGTTTGAAGTTATCCTCGCATTTCTTCCAGTCTTCAGCACTGAGGTTTGTAGTGCCATAGTTTGTCAAAGCATACTGCATCAAAGCCTGATTGTTGCGGTTTACTGTAGACAGTTTTATGCCTTCCTCATCTATTTTAGCTAATTTTGCTCCTATAAAATAGAAAAGTAAAAAGTTAAAATGTTAAGTATTTTAGTAAAAGTGTGAAGAAAAAATAAATGATTGAAAACACTTGAAATTATAGATGAGATAGAGGTATGTTCGATAGTTAATGATGAAAGTGGTTAAGATTTATTTTATTCATTTAATATTTTGTTAAGTATTGTATTATTTTTGTGTAATATTTTTTATAATATCTCAATAAGATAAGAGAGAGACAAAAAAAGATAAAGTAATATGATAAAAGTCACAAATATTTCAGTCAGTCTCATCAGTCAAAACTGCATTCTTCTTTCATAACAATTAGTAGTTTACCTGGCAGCATTGATGGTAATGGAGCGACAACTCCCGGCGGTTTAATATCAGCTGCAGGAGGATCATCACTCCACCTTGATTTCTTCTTCTTTCTCCTTTCTCTCTTACTGTCAGATTCCTCATCACTTTGAGAACTTGCTTGTTCCCTCTTGTAGGACTGACCAAAGCCGAAACCCTCTTTAGTACTGTAAAAGTCACTTTAAAACATTATATTGTGTATAATACAATCGTAATTTAAGCTAACATTCTAGATGGCTCTAATGTAGGCAGGACTTAAAATGTCCTATCTCTGGGGCTGTCCAAAATTGATTTTGTCCAATATTTTGATACTATGGAATTGTCAGAGTGAGCATAAAAATGTTAGCTTTTATATGCAACGTAATGAAAAGCAAGGTAATGTGTGATTAACTACAAGAATATACAACCAATGTGATGCATAATAATAATAATATAAAAATATCCCAACCTGTTTAGCTACAATGTTGACCTTGAAGGTCATTTACTATAAAGGCATTTTTAGCTTCACATACAGTTTAAAACAAATATTTAAACACAGATTAATGAAGAATGAAATACAGATCACTTACCTATCCCGACTGTCATCTTTATTATTAAATCTGTAATCATCATTACTATCATCATCTTCCAAACTGAACTCCGGTTCATATTTGTCCTCAGGTTTCACTTCAGCTTTCTTGTCACCTCTTTCACACCTGATCTTAGTAACTAGATCTCTAAACGCCTTATACTCGTTCGAATTAGTGTTGTGAAGGAACCTGGAATGATCCGCTTAGTACAATCATCTCATGTAAAGGGTAAAGAACAACAAAGGATGCGCTTGTGTTAGGTTTTATTCAACCTGAAAACACTGTTATGGAACAACTTGCTTAAATAAAAAGGTTTCTTAACATGTTTTGAATAATGAAAGGCTGGTGTTCCATCACAGTCGTTGCGACAATATATGTATGTAAATAAAAAAAGAATACAGCACGTATCCTCCTGCTGGGGATCAAAGTGGCTACAGTGGCATTACCACAAATTTTGGTCTTGTGAGTGAATTGCTTTCAGGACATTTTCCCAGTGGTCGCCGTTGCAGGCGACTTCGGTGGCGGCTCGCAGGACTGACGGCGGCAACGCATCTGCAGAGAGAACTGCACACCACGGATCAACATATTGTCTGGCGGTCACGTCGACGAAGAACCGGGGCGACTATTTATATTACTACCGCGGCTTTAGGTAAACATAGAGTGACGTCACAATGCCTAAGTGAACTCATATAGATATGAATGAACCTAATAGCAAGTTGAATAAGTTAGCTTCTACTTATTATATCTCCCAAAATCGACGTACAAATACTAATATAATATTGATGCAAATAAACAGTTTGTAATTGCAAATAAAATGTAGATCGATCAAGAGCAATTAATTATAATCAGCCAATCATAAGGCTTAATATGCGTCCAGATCTGATGAAACACGTCGCGATTGGCGCCTTCGTCAGATCCAGAAGCAGCTATAATGGTCATGCACAACTTTCTTTACTCATTTAGGGAATAAGCTAGATAACAGAGTAACGAACATTTGATTGTAAATAATGCTGACACTAAGCATTATTTACAATCAAATTTTCGTTACTCTACTAGATGACATTGTGTTAGTTTAGAGTCAACTTCTTTTTTTTCGACCAAAAGAAAATCTTATTATTCATCTCCTTCATATAAAATTTTCAATTAGGCATTGTGAACTTTCTCCTGTTTAGTTTTTCCTATTATTAAATAAATTGTCGCTAACTCATTGCAAAGGTTGCTAAAGGCAGCAATACATGCAAATTCTCTGATATTTAGATTGAAATATATACAATTAATCGTCTAAAGTACAACCAGTCTATGTAAAATTTTAACTTATTGGCTTGATTACAATAATAGCGAAATAAAGTTGAAAAAATACTGCTAGCTTTGTCGATTTTTGCCTTCTCCAAAAGGAAACATGCAATTCTATAATACTTCACTGATTTACATAGAATACTAAATATCAGAAAACAATTGAAGTTAAATATTTATTGCATGGCCTTTGCATTGGTACAACATGACACGGAAATATGGTCTTATTTTCTATGTTTCCAATTTATGTGAACAATTAGCTTTTAAGTTAATGTAAGTAAGATTATTGTTATACTGCTTCTTTCAAACCTGATCAGAAGGCTGTTTATAAGCAAGTATAAGACCAGATATTTCCAAAACATGTTTTACCAACTAAGTTTATAGTACAAAGGCATTTAATACAGATCAATATGGTAGATTTTTACCTTGCGATGGTTTAAAAGGTGGTGCAGAATTGTCCATATCTTTAGGATTCCCCAAAAGTCCAAGTGGCATAGGTGGAGGTAATGACATTCCATCTGGTTTCATCGGTGGACCATCCATGGATTTTGAATCAGGGTGGTGCATGTTTGGAGGCATGGAATTAGGAGGCATAAATGGTGGCATTGGAGGACCATTACCATTACCAAAGTTTGGAGGACCATTCGGCCCAAAAGGTGGACGGCCGCCCATGAAAGGCATATTGTTATTCATAGAATTCGGAGGCATCATTGAATTAGGCGGACCATTTGGACCCATCATATTTGGAAAAGGTGGACCGAAGAATGGAGGCATAGGACCATTTGGACCTGGGCCACCAGGTCCCATGTTGGGCCCACACATGTTAGGCGGCATTGGACCACAGGGGCCTGGGCCATTTGGACCCATGAAATTAGGCGGCATAGGAAAATTGGGCGGTCCACCCATAAATGGAGGCATGGGGCCACCAGGAGGCATAGGAGGCATAGGCCCTCTAGGCCCCATCATTGGCCCTGGCCCCATACCTGGTCGGGGACCCATATTAGGTCCTGGGCCCATATTTGGACCATGTCCCATATTGGGTCCTGGTCCATTACCTCCCGGGCCCATATTGGGACCAGGACCCATACCTGGCCCTGGGCCCATATTAGGCCCAGGTCCCATATTAGCACCAGGACCCATATTTGGTCCTGGCCCCATTCCAGGTCCAGGTCCAGGTCCCATTAGACTGGGCCCCATAATACCAGGAGGCATCGGCCCTGGTCCCATAGGTCCAGGTCCCATATTAGGACCCATTTCATTACTGGAATCAGGATCTTCATCAGATTTTGAGCCTAGAAGCCATTGGTTACGATCAGAATCCATAGGTTGAGTATTTGGTGGCATAACAGGGATTTGCATAAGGGGTGGGATGTTATGAGGATTTTTGTTGTCCCCAAGTTTCTTCCTGTCTTCCACAACTGGGGTTATAGGACTGTGGGGGCGAGGACGACCCCTTTCATTCCACCTATGATGTTTTGGCCTGGAATATTAAAATGGAAATAATAAAGTGCCTATTTTTTTTAAACATAAATTCATTTTTAATATTATATTTGATTGACTAAATCAAATACCTTTGTCCTCTATCCCCAGACTTGCGTCTCTCATCCATGCCTTGTCCAAAATGTTCCCTTTCAAATGTATCATCACCAGATGGCTGTTCTTTGCTCTCATGTGTAGCTTGTGGTTTTGATTCTTCATCACTTTGATTTTTATCCTGTTCTTCTTTCTCTTGCTTGTCTTGCTTTTGTTTTTCAAGCAAGGCCTTGAATTGGTTCATGAAACTGCCATCATTGGAGAATATGTTGACTGAGCCCTTGTCATCTTTTGGGGTGGGACTGGAAGTAAACCACAAATGGACTTTAAGATCAATTTAGGAATTTTATTTATTAAGTAGGTTGACTAACAATTGATAAGGAAAATGCCAAGAATTTGATAGAAAACATTTGATTTTTTTATTGTTTCAGACATAAAAAGAAAACCTGTTTAAATAAAGTCATGTGACTGTTCCAGCAAGCAGACAGAGGGAATGTTTTACTTTCAATAGTTGAATAGCTGTTTTTTACAGTGTAAAGGTTCTGCATCAACGACCTCATGCATTGAATAAGCAACAATTGCATTGTTGGCTGACTTGGAGGAATGAAATGTTGGCAACACAATAGATAACCATATGAATAAATGTATATTTATCCATTAAAAATGAATACACTGTATCAGAATAGATATGAGTTTCCAGTACCTGCAATATGCATACATACATGCAGACACTAGAAACCAATCACACACACTGATAAGGAATTAATTTTACTGGTACTAAATATTACATTAGAATTCAATCTTAAATTGTTTTAGTTTACCATAATTTAATTTCAATTCTACAATAACTACATAAAATTTTTAATTTTCTATAATTTTTTTACATTTTTATTTAATAATGTCTTCATATTATAAAGATTTCGTTAGTAGGAGTGGAGGTTTAAACACAAAAATAACCACTAAGTTCAAATCTCTAGCAGCTGGTCCCCACCCACTTGCCATGGTCAAAATCTTACTGAAAGTAAGGTTATAGTGGGTACAACTTCAACATTTGTAACAAACTGTATTTCACTATAAACACATTCATTTAAATACTGGTTTCATGAATTCATCGTAGCATAGTTGGAAACACTTCGAAGACAAGTGAGGTAAAGAAACATAGAAATGAATGAATCTTGCTAGATTGCTATACCGCCTATACCCCTAAATATGAAGAATTGAACATAATTGATTTATATAAAAAAAAACGAAAATATATAACAATAGCAATAAGCAATAGAAATAACCTTAGGTTTATTATGATTAATGAAGCGTTTAACGATTTCCGTGGTATTATTGATTAGAAATAATGTTCAATAAACCAACGCTAATGAAAACAATTTTAATAGGTACATGAAGATGGTATGACGTATGAATATATAATTTAATTTAAATTTACTAATTCAAACTTACTTTGATAGTTTTGCTTGAGCGGCAAGCGCCGCAGCCTGCTTTTGGGCCTCCAATTTGGCCTGTATCTCCATTTTCTTCCTCTCTATAATTTGTTCCTGTTTCGACATTTGTGCCCATCTTGTACTAAGAGCTGATTTGTTTTTATTATCTTTAAAATGAATCATTGTATTTGCTTGATTTTCGTGAAAAGAAACGGGGCAAAGTAATGTCACTAAAATACAATTATCCAACTTCGGCTAGCTGTCGCGGTTTTTCCATTGAGATAGAAAATATATAGAGGCGCCGTGTTACTATAGAAGTATACATGCTTATACAAATATGAGGGAAATATGAAACAAACTATGAAATATCATTTTTTCTCACTCTTTCTAAGGCAATAATTGTATTAGACAAAAGGGACAACAATATTTAAGTTGTTGCTTAATATGGAAACAAATCATTTTGACATTAGCAAAGTTGTAGGTAAGTGCCATGTCCGCCATCTTAAGCGCTCAGAGTACCTGAGTTTCATGGTAGTTGTCCTGTCAAACGGTTGTTTATGTTTTAAATTATTGCGGTTTTTCAGTAAATTACAAAGAACCATTTTTTTAAACTTCAAATATATATAGTGAAACAAAAAAACAATATGCCTGTGTGTTGTATTGTGCAGTGTGGTGCAAAAAAGAACGAAAATCAACCTCAATTGTCTTTGTATAGGTTAGTAAACAGTTTTCATCAAATATTACTTAGAATAATTCACATAGATAGAAAAAAATGTCACGGATACTTTAATCTATTGCCAAAGTATATATATTTACTTTTATTTCTGTCTGTGAGACAGTTTTAGTAAAAAAATGTTGTTTACAATAATATGTCAATATGGCATAGTTACGTACCATTTCACAAAAGTATCGATATAATCTCCCATTTAAAATTCAACATGTACTAAATAATCTATTTTAACAACGGATGTTTCCGCAGTTTTGTGTAACGCTAAAGTAAGACGTCAGTATTTTGGTATTGGTTTTAGTTACATATAAGTAGAAGTTCAAATTATCATGTTTTATAATTATACGGGCGCGATTGACAGAGCGGCGTTGGCGACGATCCCAGTGCGCCCACCAAGCGTAATAATAAAAAGATACATACAATAAGATTGACTTCACTACATATCTATTTTGTGCTAACGTAGTAGAAGATATCATCGTTTAATCAGACGCGCCGAAATTGTGCGCGAGCACTTCACAAATACCCACAGGTTTTCCACATATATAAAGATAAACATTTAACAAACACTATTTTTTTCTATTTCACCATTCCATCAAACGCTGTTCATAAACACAGTCCTATTTTTTTAAAAGACGCTTTACGTAGAATTATATGAATACAAATTCGACTTGAGAAAATCATTAGCCAATCAAGAGACCAAGTTAACCCCGGGTTCCAGGCTCTAGCTAGGCCGACGGCAAAGTAGGAACAGGAGTTGATTTTAGTCAGTAACGGTCTGTCCCGAAAAAGGCCGGAGATGACATTAGATGATTTCCCATAAAAAATACCGTTAATCAGCTGGCTAATCCCTAAAACTATACCTTCGTAGAACTTTTACTCAAATTGTATCGATACTCGTTAAATACTTAGTCGGCACAACCCTAGCAACGGCAGCCATCTTATGCGACATTTTGGATTGTAGGTAGGCACCTTTTTTTCGTAGGTATTTCAAGTCCATATATTTCCTATGTCAATGCGGTTTTTAACTTCTTTCTTGTATTGTGTTTACACTTGCACGAACTTCACATCATTTTTTTTTTTTTTTGAGTTTATGGCCTGGATAACTTCACATCATACTCATCAGCAAGCACAGATTAAATCCTAATACTCTTTGGCAGTGGTCTATAAACTTTTGCTAGTGTTGTACCATTGACTTACAAATTTTCTCTTTGGTTGAGAAAATATTACTAACGTAATTAATATTTTAGACAGAGGGCTTTTAAGCCTCAACCGAATTGATTTTTTTTGTAATTAAAGAAATGGAAACTATTTTGGGCTTTGTATAAAAATACTGAACATTGAATTTTTATTCGAAAATGAATGATATAATTGTCTTCAACATTCTTCATGTAGGACGCCACACGAGCAGCCGGTTACCTGATGATAAGCAATTAGCAATAGCTAGAAAAAATATTGGAGACATTTTAAAACGGCCCGTTAGGACGGACACACTTACGGACCTCGGATTGAATGTTTTTGTTTTAATTTTTTTTTGAGATTCTCTATCAGTACGTACAAAAATGGATGTATTTAACATATGATTAAATTAATAATCAACATTTTGTGTAACGAAATATAATCAAATGGCATCTATGCACTAGGTGAGAGGGAGGGGGGTCATCCATCCCTTGTTAAGTGAACCCTAGCCCCGGTCGAGAATCGTTATCAGTGGGCCCCGTCATGGTGATCTAATTGAACATTTTCAGACATTGCCTCACGGTTTTCTTCCGTACCTTGGGTGCATTGATAAACGTAAAATGTCTCATAAATAGTGAACACGTCACGCCCAGTGTTGCAGTTGTACAGCAGCTGGTTGCTGGTTCCAACCTTGGTCCCCCACCTTCTTCAACCTTATGGTCGTGGTGGACATTGTAACATTTTCGTGATTACTCGTTTTTTTCTTCGGTGGTTTTAAACTTCTGAGAATTCATTGCATAGTAGAACACTTACTCAATTTACCTCATACCTACTAAATACCAAAATACGCTACAGATGCCAAAATAAGCAACATTCAAGCTAGGTTATTTATTAGTTGATTTTGGTTATGAGGGACGGAATACAAGACGACTGCTTTTTCGTGGCCTTGAGAAGTATCAGCTATTATTTTATTTTCTCGATTCTTTTGAGTCGAGTTGTAGTACTCGGGAACATGTGGCTGAAGATATTTATTAGTTGTGTACCATCTTGTCGATGGGCAATAATTTTGTCTGATTATTTTTATGCGGCACTAATCGTGCTATTATTGTTTAGCTTGTACCTATAATAGGAAACAAGTTGTACAAGGCCAAGGCCTAAAATGAAACATCAAATATCATTGCATATTATTCTTTTTATATTTTTTTTTCATCAGTTTAAATGGAAAATACAATTTCATTTATTTATAATGTTGTCATTTATTTATTGTAAACAAATATATTATAAAAGATTTACATATTACTATCAAAACAAAATATTCACAAAATGGCAGACTAACTAAACAATTACTTAGCTGTTTCATCAAGCATGCTAACAATTGCATCGTTTTGAGCTAAATAAGAAGGAGAAAGTTTGGCACTGATCCCATTATTCAAATTAAAGTGAAGATGGCATAAATGCACATTGCAGCAACACTATCTGTCGTACAAGATAAGTTAGTCTGTTTGTCCAGATTTTGAATAGGTACCTTTTACAACGATACTCTTCACAACCTCTCTTCAGCTCATGTATTGCATGATCTAATACTGACTACCTAATATACTTCCATAAGGCCGGCGGACGGCTGGCGTCCGCGCTGTGCCAAAGTTTTCAAAACTATAAGGACAACGCCAAAGAGAGCCTACAACTGACTATTGTTTCTGTGGTAACTTGACAGTTATAATAAACTAATCTGCTGCCTCATTATATCGAAATTCAAATTGACTTAATTAAAAAAAAACAACAAACTCTGGCTCCTTTCATAACAATACAAATTCCATTGAATGGATAAAAGTAACTCAATTTAAAACATTCAAACAAATCCTCAATCAATTCAAATTAAAAAAGTACCTCTTCACATTTCTGCATTACCCTGCCTTAACAAAATCATATTATACACTTAGACAGTTGACAAACAAAAAAAAGCAATGGAAGAGGACAATGAGCAAAAGAAATCACAAAATATATAGAAACATTCGACATTGTGTAAGGTTGCTTCAACAAGTGTGCTTGATGTTCTACGTGAACATGGGTTGCGAACTTACACAAAATATTTCGGTGTAGCAAATAAGCTAGGTCTCTTCCACTGTTACATGAAATGCCGAAAAGAAAAGTATAATTCATAAATTGTACCTATACTTTGTTTATACTCTAATTTTTTTTTACATTTTAATAATTTAAAAACAACCAGTACTTGGTCGAGAAATTTATATCCATTTTTTTTTGTGTATTTTATATTTTGATGAAATATTTATAAGCTAATTAACGTGAGCCGATGTCAGGATTCATAGCTAGTCGTCGTTCGCTCGAACCGGCTGGCAAGTCTGTTTCTCTCGTCCGCCCGACTCGAGCTTGTATAAACGTATCTATACACATTAACACTACCGCATCGTCTATACATCTTGACTCATATATAATGCACTGATATTTCGAGGGGCACAAGGAATATCGCAGCATTGTTTCATTGCGCGCTGAGCGCTAAGGCCGCCGCCGCGCGGTCGGTTCGCACCAACCATAACCATCATTCTATATTCATATAATTTCCCCGTCATATACATTTTATAGCAATTAATAAAAATAAAACACTAAGATTACATCCCTTAACATGTCTAAATGTCTAATTCGTACTCTATTTACATTTGACATAATACATAATATTCAAATTGTTCGGTGAATCGACAGTCTTGCGAGATCGATATCGAGCCCGGGCTCGCGGCGGCGGCCGACCTCTGATTACTGTACAGCAAATTTACAATAACATTTGATCAGAATACGCAAACTCAAAGATCTATATCTAAAAATTAAAGTAAGGTAAGGATCATCGTGTATGTAACGCCCGCCTTAAGCCGCTATAATATCAGCTATGTTAAGTAATATAACATATTAAGTTTGCACATGACAAAAATGCCACTGATAACATATATAACATTATTGAATTAAATAAAATAGGCCACATTCATTGTTATGGTTGAAATATGGGGTTAACACAACCTAATCTGAAGTTCCACATAGGTAGATGCGATCGAATACAACGAAAGTAACGTAGTAGACAAATATAGTGTGGCGGATTTGTCATGCGACAACAAATGATACATATTTGGGAATTAGTACTCCTAATTTATCACTAACTAGGATTTAAGAAGAAGATGACGTCACTAGATACTAAATATCATCTACTCTGTACAATGGACTATGATATTTTATTGAGATATTTTTTTCCTTTGTATAAACATGACAAAATACAAATATTTCTGTCCAACTTTACAATAACTTAACCGGTAACAATCGAGCAACATTTGACATTTTATTACTCCCTTTGTGACAGTATAATTAGA